CTTCCAAAACTCCTCACTCAAACTTTGCTCAGCGTGAATCAACACCAAGAAAAGGATGAAAGCAGCGTTTTAATAAGTTACATACAAGTTACAAGTTGCAGCAGACCCCTCATCCCTGAAAGCTGGAGATAGAAATGATACTGTTTCCTACAAAAATCTGCTTTATTATCTGGTGTGCAACAAGCCAGTAATTACACCCTCGAGAGAAACACTGATTATTTATTTCAGAGTTGATAAAGCCTGGGTGCTYGGTGGGATTCCACAAATCCAGCACGCCAGCTGTCAAAACTTGGACATCACTCAGAGCCTGTTGGCTGCTCTCTGCTTCATGGATTAAACCTCCTTTTTTGCTGATTAGGCTTGAAAGYACACRAAGATCAAATATCAAAGAACATCCCTTCTTAAGACAATTTTATATATTTCACATTTTGCAACAGGGCCTCTGAGAGAACTTGGGAGAAAGCAATTACACAATTCAATATAACTTACAAGAGAAACTTAAATGTGAGATTGTCAGAGTCTTCACTTCAAAAAGGGAGGGCYGTTAAAACCAAACAAATAAAGGAACATTTTCCATCTGGCTTGCAGCAATTAGTTTTGGCCTTAATCTCASTATAAACACTAAAAAAACCCGGCCCTCTGCATCGATGTAAACCAGAGCTCCTCAGCCCAGAGGTGACTTTGCTGGATGTTTGGTTTAAAAAAAAAAAACAAGACTATAAAATAAGAGAMTATAATGTAATAAAAGCTCAGAAGATATATTAGACAATATGGAGAAAACACAGATTTACATGGCAACCCCGCCTGATACAAACAAAACACAACCCCAGCTCCAGAGCCGTGACAAGCAGCGCGCTCATTTTGTCCAGCTGACTTTGGGAATGTCGTAATGCTCGGTCAGAGTGTCCAAGTGCCTGTTGAAGTCCTGGGGGAGGGAAACAGAAAGAAAACGKGTGCTGACATCACCGAGCTGAACCCCAACAKCCRCTGGTGTTTTACCAGGGGCAACAGATCCTTCAGCCCAGCGATAACGAACATGTGCTGGTCCAAGGAGCTCGGGGTGGTTTCACTCACCTCCACTCGCTGCTTGTGGGTTTTCGAGGCTTTCTTCAGGATCCGCTCCATTTGCTGTGGGAGAAACACAAGGGTCGGTTACTCACAGCCCCCTCAGCGGCCGCCCTC